TTTATTGGTCTTGCACACAATTTGAGACAATGACTTCACCGATTGACAACCTTCTAGGAGGCCAAAATATGACTCGTTTGCCAACTACAAAATATATTTTTGTAATAAACGTTTTAAAATATGGTTAATCCAAATGATTTAACAATATATCGATCCCCGGTCAAAGGTCATATGTGCATGTAGAATTTGTGGACATCGCCGTTTGTATTTCATCTTGCCCATGCTCCTTCTCCAGCTGTACTTTTTGCCGTAGACTGGTCCAGCTGTGACAAATTTGTAATTCCTTTTTTTAAAATCAAACTCCTAAAATGGCGGTCAAACTGTGTTCAATGAGCGGTGTTTTGGTATGCAACAAATGAGATCGGATTCGCTAATAACGAAAGACAATTTGCCGAAAAGTTATTCCTTACCTTGCCCATGGTTTAACATCAATGTAATGCTAGAATGCTTATCAAAACCTAGCTTCTATGCTCTAGGCTTCAAGAGCGTTGGTAAGGCGTAACAAAAAGATAGTATATACATGTACAACAAATGATGTTCATTTCCGATCGCTTAAACATGACTTTGCACTTACTATCATAAACACGATCAGACGATAACGGTGATGATGATGTGGATTAATTAAGGCAAAAGCTACTTTTTGGCCGTTAAGAATATTAGTTGCTTCTTCAAATTTCGCCAAAGCCTTGCCTACATTTTACCGATATCTGCAGAATAAATTACATTTTAAATATACAAACGTTTTACATTTGCAGTGAGTTATTATATACATTTCACGGTACAACAGTTCCTCCAGGAAGTATCACATTACTGACAGCATACTACCTGTTTAATGTACGTATAGATTTTATTCACACGTGCAGACACAATTCAATTTAGTGTTATCTCATAATTTGCTTGATGATTTTAAATTACTTTGGAAAAACTGAAGAATATGTTTCCAGCTGTCTTCTTGTGCTCTTGCATGTGGCTTGGGTCTCCCGCCACACATTACGTTTATATCTTGTGATATGAAAAAAGAAAAAAAAAGAAGAAAATAACTTTATTGTAGTTTTCTGAATATTATGGTATTGGTGAAATCATTTATACATCGATAGTAATTTATTAATCAAACCATGTGCATAGAAAGTATCAATCTATCTGGCAACATCAGACATAACCAAGAAATGAACACATATAAATAAGATGAAATGAACACATATAAATAAGATGAAATGAACACATATAAATAAGATTTAGCAACATACAAATATTCAATTATGCTTAAATTACTATTACAAAACATTAATACGGTATGGCATTAAGCTCAAACGTAAAAATATACATCCTTTAACAGCTGCAAAAACCTAAAATTCGGTCTTCGAAAATAATCAAAATATTGCATTGAAATATCTAATAACATTGTGAATGAAGGTATGTAATTTGCATTATCTTATAAATTGAAAAAGTTTAAGTTGAAAGATGGAATGAGATTTTAAAGTGCTGAGCCACTCATTCTTTTATAGTTATATGCAGTTACCTAAAAATAACCATGATGCTCTGCGGTATTTAACATTTTGCTACTCTCTTAAACATCAAGAACACTACTACAAAACGTTACTGTTTCGTTCTTGTTGAACCCTAGCTATGTATTCGTGATGGTATTTTATTAATCATTTCTGATATATTTTGTGTCATTAAATTTGTTATTTTCAGATATTACGATTTTTATTGACACTGAAGAGATATGGTTTCTCCCACAGGCTTGCGTAACACAAACGTGTGACACCAAATGGAACAGCCAGTTGAACCCCTGTGCACAAGGCTCGAATCAGACATCATGGCCAACCTAATCTAATCTGATATGACGTATATGGTAATAAGATGATACTCACTTTCAAACCAATGGGGAGCCAAATCACTCAATGGCGTATTCGGTGGTTGAACAAGATGGCCAGCTCCTGGATAGTATAAGTAGCGATAATTGGACTTGTTAAGTGATCTAATTCTTTTGATTGCTTCTTCTGCATAAAATGGAGTTTTACAAAGCAGGTCATCTCCAACAGCTATATACAACATCTCTGCTTTCACTCTGCTGAACTGAAAAGTAGTGAACAATGAGGAGACGTTGGGACAGAGCAGGCAGGTAATGTTATAAATACCGTTACTTGTGATCTTGCCTGAACCAGTATTCGTTATACGATGCCGAATCAGTAGGAGGGAAACATGTGATCAACATATTTTCTGTAATAAGATGAATCCATTAACTTGGTAACATAATTAGTCGTTTTGATTTAAATATTAAATTTATTACAAATATTCTTACATCAAAAACAGCTTCATCGACAGGATCATCCAAGAGCTCCAAAGAACATGCATTGCCATCGATGATGACGAGTTTACTGTTGTCATATCTGTTATAAAATAATCAAACAGCAAAGCAGAACGCTATTTGTGAATTTCAGCGGTTTTCTTGAAGGAGGGGACTACCACGACAATATCACGACAATAACAATCAACAAATACATACCCAGTATATGGCAGTGTTTGACCTCTAAATTTCATTGCACTGCCTGTATGCATATGTGCCCCATTTATACTTACCACTGCCTTTACCTTGAAATTGGATTTCAAAAAGATATTAATGCATTGTATATTTTTCACACAAACATGCAGAAGGGAATGGCAAGGTTATCGCGGATATATTCACATATAAATATCCACAAGCTTGCAGTTATAGAGCTAATTGATGAAGATATAATTATTTTTGAAGCTCAAAACATACTCATATTAACAACTCATTCGAAGTACATGCATTCAGTTAACGAAAAGACACTTAATTGAAACAAATGCACGATTTAAAATAGGCAAAGCAATTTCACATTAAGGTGGAGTTTTATTGATTTGCGGATTTGAGAATATTAATTAATTAATTAATTAGTATTGTACATAATTGTTTCTTGTTTCTCAATTAACCTGAAAATCCAAAATATGCATACAGTTCAGATCATTCAGCAATAAATTACATCTAGTGTGCGTACTTAAAACTGATCGTTCTAACAGCCTTGAGAGACCTGGTCATTCTGTTCAGTTCGTAGCTCATTAGTGCATCATTGTACAATATTTGGACCAAGTGTTCAAGTTACTGTTAAATTTAAACTCTCAATACAATTAGGTACGAGCAACAAATACATCTAGCACTCTTCTACTACATTAGTTGTTTTAATATTATAATATTTTAAATAATGTAAATAATGATGAATGAATGTAATGTAAATGATGATCGCCCTCTATTATGTGTAGGAAGTCATCTTTATTTAGAATCCTCTGATTGGCATGAGCCACTAATTTGACAGGTACGCAATACTTATAATGCATACCCTGAAAATGTTTCAAATTACTGCGGATTACTTGGAGCAAGTAAAGATCCCCAAAAATCATTCCTTTTGAATGCTACAGTCAATCTTTTCTTGACTACCCATCTTGTCAGGCTGTACGTGGTATGTGTGGCATATTTAAGATGGAGTGGGGCAATTGCCACATTTTGTGCTCCAAGAAAATGTGTTCTGTCCGTGTGTATTTGTATATGCAATTTACTTTGCTTATGATTGGCCTCATGTCACAACACTCATTTTCAAGTGCCCTTAGCACGTAGTCAAGTCCGACATTGGCTGAAGCATTTGTTTGTATGGAAATTATCACAGTGAAAGGCAAACTGGGTGGTGTCAACAATAATAAAAAAATATTGCCCTACTCCGCTCACCGCACTATGTTTCGTGTTTCTGATGGATAACATTTTTAATTTCAAACTTCTATGCGAGAGTCAATCAATTTTACTTCATATATATATATATGAATGAACCTGATCATGACAAGTCACCAGCAGGTGTGGATTATCCAGGGGTCACCATTGGAAGTCGCAATTACTGCAAAAAGCGGCCTCACCGAAATACATGAAAATATAAATCATGACACACCCCTCCTCTCAAACTAGGAATTATGCCTCAAAAATAAGGCACCGTCATCTACTCATCGTCATACGGGTTAAATACATTACTGATATAAAAAGGTATAAATCAAAAGAGTAAAAACAAGGATTTAGTACTATGGTTGGAAAGTCACAAAAATCAAGGGTTATAAATCTAAAGATCCTACTCTTCCAGGGAAAGGCTCAAACCGTCTCGTTTCCTCAAAACAGTCCGCCGACATAAGCCTTCGCTGCACTGTCGCCCATTACTAAGGTTACAAACTCTATATCAAAAGGTCAATAAACTAAGGCGTGACAGAGTAACCATGCGACCAGCCAATCGCTGCAGTCGACAGCATGATCATGTGATTACCAGGAATGCGTCTCTCGTTTAAAGCATGGCAACCGGTCACTACTAATCAATAAATAAACAATCTATTAATCAAACTCCTGTCATATATGCTTATAATCTTCAAACTGAACACACAAGTCGTTGAATCTAAAAAAGGCGTCGGATTGTAATGCTAAAAAGAAGTCGCTATCACAACACGTTTCTCCTCTGACAATCAAGATAGAAAAGTCTAAAATCACAAAACACTACTGAGTTACATACAATACTGTCAATCATGAACAAAAGCTTGCGATCATCAAACAATATGTATGTGGGCGCACCACACTCATTTCAAAAAGACATCAAAAACATTACGAAGTGCTCTCAACTCAAATCAACTCACAAAGCGTCAGAAGTAATCCAAAAGCAACACAGACAAATCGATTATTCTGAACATCGATAACTCTTAAAACGTCTGTAACTCTGTACATGACAATTCTTAAAAACTCTGAAAAACTCATGTGGGGCATTATTCTTCCCATCATATTCCGTACTCATAATCTCATTAAAACACCATAAAACTTCACAAAACTCATAACACTGTGTTGCAAATACTTGTTCCCTGAAACGCGCTTAAATCGTTATAAAGGACCTCGCATGTCACATACATACAATTCAATATCACAAAAAATGTTCAAAAATCGGCAATAGAAAGAAAGAAATACATTACATTATGAAGCAAAAGAAACGGGATTCTGAAAAAGAGTTCAACGTCTTAAGTTTCAGTATTCATTACAGTGTCCATCAGGTGGTACACAAATAGCTAAAGTTCTAATTCAAAGTCTCTATAGCATCTTCTCCTTTCGTTGCGTTAGTAGTCCGGATCGTTATTTCTCATCTTGTCTTTAATGTCGGTTAATTAACCTTGATTATTCAGTCCTATTCGATACTCGTCTTTCCTAAAGGGTTTTGAAGTCTTCATCTCTTCAACGTTGTGTATCGGTGTCATCCGGGTAAAGGCGTTAGTCGAGCACAGTGTTGTCTCTGCCGTTCGCATGAAAACACACTTTCGGGTGTTTCTTTGTCATTATACAGTTCTGCACAGGATATCGAGGTGTGTTAAACACCTGCCCGGATTCTCCACCACGTTTGAAAGATTAAACGTAGTGATATTCAGGTCAGAGGTACCAAGTTTGGGGAATTCTCCACCTTTCTATCGAACAAAGACACACAGAGAATCGAATCGTGTCACATTTGGTCTCAGCCACGTTGTTACTCTCCCACGGCTGTCTCAACACTCCTCAAGACTCTTTTAAGACTGCTCTCGGCGAGAGCTAGCCACAACTAACTGAGATCGGTTTTATTCACATTCCAACTGTTAACCAATTACAGACTCTAAGGGGTGGCCTCCACACATATAGCCAATCACGCAAAGTATTCAACACGCCATAATGTCAGATTAATTTTCCCCAATGCCAGACATAACTCTCATACTTATTGATGCCTCATTGACTTAACCAACTTCCATAGTCGACCATTATATCAGCCAGTTGTTCCAATCACTAATTCCCTAACATATGAATGAACCTGATCATGACAATTCACCAGCAGGTGTGGATTATCCAGGGGTCACCATTGGAAGTCGCGATTACTGCAAAAAGCGGCCTCACCGAAATACAATATAAAATATAAGTCATGACATATATATCATCAACCTTTTTAAATATCACTTGACAAAGCAACAATTCTAGCACCCACTGGCCTGTTTATTAAAAATGAACTATTATAATTGTTGATATATTGTATAATTGGCTGATAAGTCATACCTTGTCAGGAAAATACACTGCCATTGTAACTGCCAGCTCTGCTCCCTTTGACAGACCTATTGTTCCTATGCCTCCAGTCATGACGCATTCCTGACTAGTGAACCAATTAATGGATTCCTTTGAAAAGATATAGATACTATAATGTAACTCATAATTTGGTAGGTATTGGGGAATCTAATGAATATAACCCAGACATGGAATATAATCTAGACATGGTAACTGTCTAATAAAAGCGTTCTTGTGATATTTGTGGATGCAATTTGCATAGTGTAGTGAGGAGCACATCTGATTAAAGTGGCGAGGCACATTTGCAGTGGTCTAGAGTTTGGTTGTGTATATGTTCATAAAGTGGTCGCTTTATGTTGGATGTTTGATATAGATAATCTATGACAGTAAATTAGTGTTGGCGCACTGTTTTAAACAGAAATAAGGTTATAGGACTTAGCTAACACAGTAAGCATTCTCAACAGACACCTTCAAAACAGAAACTTGGATTTCATTTAAAGTTTGATGGAGTATTGATTCGACTATCTATGCTAACTCTATTGTTATGGTACACCATACTCTTCTTGCCCGGAGAACTGCGGATACATGTTAATGCTTGTAAACGCCCTCACGCGACATCACGTGGTGTTTCACTGGTATTGAACAGAGAATGATTGACAGCTCATGCAACATCTCGAAGGAACCAGACATTCAAATATTCGGTTTACACGTCATTGTTTACAGTACACAGGGAATAGAAAGTTGACCTCTGTTGTTTATAAACATTGTGATTGAACAACAGAACATGTTTTTATTTTTATATTCTTTCTTTCAAAATTGGCTATGATCATGACACCTTTATTTTGATGACCTCTAAACAGAAAGTGAACCGAGCCATGCTCTGTCTATTATTAAAATCATTCGCTTGCATGCGTAATTAATATCAAGGAAAACTAAAAAGAAGTGAGGACCGTCGACAGTCTAATGAACATTATGAACTTTTCTTTTGAAAATGCATACATAAATGAATCGACCAAAACATGGAATCCACTGAAATGAATGTCTCTAATACTAGCATGTCGACCACTTAACAAACTATATCACGACAATTTTCCATATGATTCTTGTGCACTTCTAGCACTTTCAGATCGAATAGTGATCGCAGCAACCAAGGTTCGATCATTATTTCAACCAGCAGTTTTTTCAGTATGTCTTTTGAGGATTGTGCGACTTTTTTGGAAATGACTGTGGATTGTATTGCCCACCTTATCCATTGTTTGGATTACGAAAAGTTCTTTTGAGTTTTCATTATTTTGAAATTCTCTGTAATCATGTTCTTTTCAGTAGTTAGTTAATGTTAGTATACCCAAGCATTGAATGAATATTCTTTATCTACTCGTCGAAACTTCAGGCATATATACGAACATATAACATGAAACACAGGATTCAAATTTAAAGTCGGCAAATGTGCCTCCTAAGCTGATGCACCATCATCCCCTCGTCGCACTGTAATATAAACCCTTGTTATATGAAATACAATTAGCTTTTCCGAGAGAGATAATTTGTTTCAGTCAGTCTCATTATGCTGTACAATATAAATGTTTGAAAAGTGTTTTTGTTCAAACTAATCACACACGTATATATATTGATAGGACTTGAATATATAAGTATATTATGACAATTATACAGACCCCAATTTGACCCAAACGAGGCTGTGAACTGAAATAAAGTTGGTGTGAAAAATTCCCTCTTCCCTTACGTGATTTTTTTTACAAACTATAATTTAGTATATGATTAAAAAGACAAAAATGTACTTGCCTCAAAATAGTCAAGGTCAATTCGCAAAAAGTTTTCCGGTAAATCCTTGTAACGACAATAACCAAGTGCCAATACAGCATAACCATAGTTAGCCAGCAAGGAAGCACGCATTTCTAAAAGACCCCCAAGTGCACCATACATATCAATAATACCCGGAAATGGTCCACTACCTAGGGATTAAAACAAAAACAAAAAACTACTTGTTTTTTATCGATTAGAAAAGTGCTTAGTAATGATATTCTGAGTTTTTCGTTTCTTATGATGGTTTATCTTGAGATGTTGAATTGTTCGAGTTACGGATATCGAGTTACGAGCACCGAGTTACAAAAATGATCACGCCATATTTTAGAAACTACGCCCACTTTTGCGAAATGTTCGGAATGTGAACTGATATTGGGTAAAGGCAATTGGAAATACGTACGTCAATTAATGTGAATGAAATGACAATTATTATCTGGTTCAATGAAAGAGGAACGAGGATGTGTAATTTTTTGTTTGTTAGATGGCTATATTGGATTGTGATTCATTGTTGTCTGTTATAAAACATACTTTGATTTGGTCTACAGTTTGGACTATCAAACAAGAGTACAAATATCTTATTTTCCATAGTACATAATTAACATAAAGTTAAAAATAAGCTAATTAATTGGCGTAAATTAAAAAAAAATATATACGATGACAGAACTACCACTTAATAACTTTACTATGCATTAGTTGACATTAAGATACGGAATGATACAAACTAAAATTTGTTATATGGATAAATGGGTAAATGTTAATCGATTTAGAATGAGGACTAATTGTCAAAATTAGATAATAACATGGAACTTGATAACATACAAACCCCATCGAATGCATTGTCGATTAGACCTACATGTATCATATTTTTGTTTAATACATTATTTGTTAATTGACCTTTCGGTTTAATTAGCGTTCCACGAACTCTGCCTACTTTTACTTCAAATCTTTCCATGTGTTCGTCCATGAAGACACGTAGGATTCTTGTTGTCGTCATTGGTTTTGAGTCTTGCAATTCATTAATGCCAAGATATCCAGGGTATAGAGACAATTCTACGTTACTGGGCTGTGTTACATCCAACTTGACATATCTAATGCCTTTTTTCTGTCCTGGTGATTGTACCATACTCCAAAATAACCCCATTGGTTCGATACCTGCAACCGATAAAATATAGCTGCTTATCAGAAATTATTTCAAGCTATAGTTCAGTATGTAGTCCAGTATACTATGCTAAATATTTGGTAAATTAACATACACCCCCTCATTTCAACTTTTCTCTCACACAGATCTTCTGATCTTTTCATCATGTGCATCAATAGTCCTAGATTCAACATGACTTATAGTCGTTATTAGGTGGGTTATTCCATTATTGTGCCTGATTGATTTATTAGGCTATTCTATCATTGGAGACTTCCCACCTAATATAAAATATTGTGTCACAGTGATCTCAATGATGATACTCTTTGGGTAGGCCCATATCCACTCGCATCGCTGGTAAGTTTGATTTTAATGCATCATGAGAATAAGAACAACAATATGCTAATAGATGGGGCAAGATAGGGGCACTCCAGCGGATATAGGATGAAAACAGATGATAGTTGAATGAGAGTCATTAAGTAGAGGTCAGCTTATGTCACTCCAGGGTGTCACTTTCTGCCAAGTGAAGTTTAAAACCCTGCTGGTAAGCATGCATCACTGAAAAGTTATACCTTCAAAATTTGAGCTCGTGCATGATGGCTAACTCCAATTTAAATTTAACCCTGACCTCAATCTCGTAAACACATATAATAGAAAACCTTTTGAGCTAATAGCAACTCAAACAGGCAGGGGCAAGGCAATGTATGAGGAATCAAGGTTTGTTGTTAGACTCGCATAAAAATGGCTGTCTTCTAAAACAGCTGATATATGTGGTGCCGTTTGAGTATTTATTAATATAAGCAAATTATATATAATAATTTTACGATTCTGCATTATATGTATATATTACAAGTGTGGTTCAAATTGTTTTTATAAAATGAAGATAATTATTGAACTTAATAAATAATAGCTCATGACTTATGTATATACAGTTTTGCTTCCAGTATGTTATATATAACAATATTGTCATCAGAATCAAAATTGTATGAGAAAGTAATGCAGTCTCTTTTATTATTTACTAATTAAAATAGGATTCAATCTTCTAGAATGTTGATATTTATGCAAAATGTTTTAGCTTGGGATGAGCCCTTTGACTTCTCTGCAGTGATGACTACCTGGACGCTGAGCCTCATTAACAGCTTATCTTTTACAAATGTTGGATGAACTTCCCCAGTTTGATTCCTTATTTAAGGTAGTTAAAATCATGGTTTCGTGATATTGTAAATGATCTTCTCACTGATGGGAGACAAGACACCAGGCATCAATCAGCTCACAGTGGACTATATACTCATTGAATAAGATGAAGCTTATTGTAATTGCTCCACTCTTCATCATTCACCTCCAAGAACATATTGTCAGTTGGTCAGTCTCCATGACTGCTGAAATGCCTCCTGTGTCAATACTGTAGTTTCAAGGTTTAAGGTACTTCTGCCACTTTATTTTGCTATTGTGATAGTAGATCTTATTGTTGGCCTCAGTAACCTTGTATCATGGCTTATACAATGTGTACAGAATAAATTAAATGTTTGTGTACGATGATATATTGGTCCTGTATCGAAATTCAATGACATCCCTATTGAAAGCGCAGAAATTCATTTTTTTTCAAATGACAAGTGATTATAGTTTCAGAGCACAGACTGTTGGCTATGAGTTGAATGACATACAAGGTATTCAGGTATTGTTGTTAGCTCCAAAGGGCTAATAAATTAAGGCATCTATGCTAAAATATGGGTGAAAAACATTCACAGTAAGTGCCCTTAACTAAAAGATATACTTGACGTATATGTTCCTTGGTAACAGAAGAATGACCAAGGCATATGTGCTAAATTCCAGACAATTTAATCAGTCATTCACAGTGAGCCTACTGAGAACCCCCATACAGGGGAAGAAACTACTCTGAATGCACTCAGTGACAACTCTCCTTTCATAATGCCATCCTCTTTATTATCACTTGGATCAATTATTAGTGAGACTCTTTTAACATCCTTTGGAATCTTGCTGAGACTCTGCAGTCTAGTTGCATAACGAAAAGACAGAGCTTTCATAAACGCTCCTCGTGTGCTATGATATGCTACTGAAACAGTTTGGGCTGGAAGATGCTTGGGTCTAATATATCCCCCTGCTAACATTTATGTGCCACTGGTGACTAAGTTGCATGATACAAAATCCCACAGGTGAATGGGAGAGCTGTGTTGAAGTTGGAAGTGGCAACTAAATCGTATCTGATGGCACCATTATCATTGATTGAATTGTCCATTGATGACGCACTACTACCAGGCATTACATACATTGGACAGGTTGACAAGGCTAAAAAATTATGGAACCATGACACAGTCTTTAATCTGGTAAACAAAGATGATGTAAAAGTGTTTCAACTAAAGTCTGCCAGACAATCTCAGTCACCTCAATATACTATCCTTGTCGAAATGTATGAATATCATGCCAATATAAGCTACTGTGTGGTTCTTGACAAACATGACACTGAAGCAGAATATATCCCGATTAAATCTATACTTGATAACAAATAATTACATCTCTGATGTTTTATAAACTGATACTCAATATATATATAATGTCAATGCCTGTCAACAAAATTGATTCACCAAAATAATAAAATCTGCCTCACAGCACACTCCTCAAGATCATTTTCAATGTAGTGATACTATTATATGGCAGTTTTGTTGGTCTTGTCCCCTGAATTTTTCTCATTAATTTGAAAGAGGAGAATGTTTTGAGCTGCATTGGGCTCAGCAGATTTTCCCTGAATGACGTGGATGACCATAATAACAATATACTATCAAAATATTACATGCGTATAATCAATTATAATTACATAACTAATAAATAGGCCATAAGTTTCCAATATGGTAAATACATATTCAAAGTTAATATGCATTCGATAATACTCTGAATGAAGATATATGACAAATGAGTATGTCCTTATTAATTGTATGCATAAAAATATGGTTCTAGAGCATGCCAGCTGCAAGTGAATCATTGCTGCTTGCATCTATATTTCGTATTGAATAGTTCTGAAGCTCGATGTATAATAATGTAACTTACCTGTGTATGTTCCTCCTATGGATGGATGTTTATTTAAATGAATTTTACCATTGGTCGATGCTGTATAGTGTCCATGAGCCTCAAATGTTCGTCCTTTCTCATCCATGACACGAGATCTTACCGTGAATGGTGTCAACGGTGGAAGTCTAGAAGCTTGGATGCATACTGGTTGATCTGCTCTGCCGATTTTCGGATTAACACTTATTGTAGGTATCTGTTTTCTGAATTTCCTTGATAAAAATACACGTTTTTTTACATTTAAGTTATGGCTACTAAATCCATAGTTATACTGTATGTACACAATCTAAAAAATGTGTTTTATCTCTTAAAGCCTTGGAACAATTTATATATGTATATGAAATGTAATGAATTAATTAATCTAAATTTAATGAATTTATACTTGTCTTAAATGTCACCTACTGGTTGTGTCATCAAACAAAATCATAAGAATTTTATATAATCCCGATAGCAATGCATTGAATTTCAAATTTAGTGAAACACTAGAATTCGTGAAGCTTGGGGATACAGTGGGGGGGGGGGGGCTATTTGAAAATATATTGTTACATAATATATACATGCCAAATACATTTTCCTACCGGCTACAGCAGTAATACAATGCCGACTGCACACTGACATCGTTGGACGATCATGAATTAACTGTCTGATCATAGTGAATTATACTTTGGTAGGTGATAACTACGGAAAGACCAATGTGACGACCTCTCAGGAACACAGAAGCTTGTAACGTTGCTGTGTTTTGATTCTATAAATAGCAAGAATGTTTTTATGAATATTTATATATACATCACTAAATCATGGATATACCAGTAAAATTGTATTAAATACAGAAAATACAGACCCACAGGTTTAAATGGCCTTGGTAAAACCATGATAATGCAGTACCCATACACGTGTGGGCGTACTGCTTACTGAAACACAAATAAAGACTTGGGAATATTCTTGGAAATTGCGCATGCCCGGGTTTTCAAAATGGACGCGCAAGGGAAATTGGAAATTTTGCTCGAAGTGTCTATTTCGCAGGATTTCCTCCGTTATAGTTCGAAAAAGTATAATATAAGTCGATCGATAGTTTCTACTGATATCATGCTTGAATAGTGGGAAACGGGACGAAATAGAATTTCGAAATTCTGACTAGGTAAAACCGACCCTACTTTAGTACCTTTTTAATATCCAAGAAAGCTTACCGAGCGCTTGTGCTTCCAAGTATTTAGCTCTTTCTGGAAAAGTTCACTTCAAGAGTTCCGATGTTATTTCATTCGTCGCGTAAGAGTTCCGATGTTAGTTCAATCGTTGTGGATAAATTCCGGTTCAAATCTATGGAGTTGCAAAGAGGTAACTAAATCATTGGGATTGCTTGCCTATGTTTTCCCCGGGGGGTTACTCCCTAAAATTTACCTTACGTGGATGTGCCGCTTTTTGGGCTGTGGATCCACACATTTCAGGGATTTGGTCTAAAATGGGGTCCACAATGAAAAGGGGTTAATTTTTTTTAAAAACTATATTAATTTTCGTGTCATTTTCTGGATGCAATGATCCCGGGACTTGCCGTAAGCGGCAGTATTTTCATGCGAGGTCAATTTTGGAACACCTAAACGCGTAATTAGAACTGAGTCGAGAATCAATATTGGGTGCCAGAAATCAACCAAAGACACTTATTTGGGTAAAAAGCTGGGAAAAATTGATACGCAAAAATCGTGACGTCGACTCTACGCATGAAATGCAGCGTCATGGAAATTGTCTACTGTACACGTACACGCATCTTTCGATGACGTAGATTATTTTGCCAGCCAGTCCAGTAAGCCGTACAGACATTGTACTACTACTAAAGGTAAGAACTCTTGCCCTTTTCCACAAATGTTTTCTAGAAGCCGTACCTACACACGAATTGGTGACGTCACAAAATACATGACCTTCAATCGGGGTCGTTTCCTCGGTATATAAAAATGGTATATACAAATTACAATAAAGATCTTTAAGACATTACACATAAGGTAAAACACGTGACAATATAATGATAATAACACCAACGGTAATAAATCCTAGCTTAACAGTTGAACAGAACGATAATATAGTCATACAATAGAATACACATCTAATACAATCTAATTTTGTCAGGGTTCGAATGCACATTCGTGGTTTGTCGCGTAATGAACGTTAATACATTAAATGCACAACGAATGTATGACTATCTTATTCACAACCTTTCGTCTTTTGTAGCACTTATCAGAGTTCATGGAAAGAATGCAGCACTTACATTTTAGCGCAATGCAAGGGCCGTACACATCTTCCGTTCGGGCATGGTGTCAAAGTACACACAAT